GTGCCTTTGGATGGCTATATCCTATTTCAAGAGCATTTTGACATTTTAGATATTTTCTTAGTTCTCCCTGACATTTGAAAAACAACTAGCCATTGATTTTTTTTTTCATTAGTTATGTCCCCCAAGCCCATGTGACACTCAGAGGCTGATCTGGGGCACCCTATATTCAAATATAACAGCTGACAAGCTGCAAGGGCAGGTCTTGACCCAACAACCTCCCTTCACTCCCTGCCACGGTGCAGTAAACATTATCCTGCCACAAAGCTGAGAAGCTTCTCGTATTGTGGCACCTACTGAGAATGCACAATTCGAAACGGCCACTGTGGTGAACAGAGATAGGGGCTCTGGTGGCTAGGGGCTATTGACTAATAATAGCTTAATGGAGGGTAATGGCAGGTATTCGTGCTATATAATGAGTATTTATTATATGCTGCTTGTAACTGAAGGCACTTGTTATTGTCATTTATGTGAAGAGTATCTTTGGTAAGAAAATCAAAGCAATAAAGTAGCAGCTTATGCATAACAAAGCAGCAAACTTAGATCTGATACCTATTATTGAGATAGAAATTTAATATTTATGTAGCATATTGAAATGATCTTTTTGTATATACAGCTCTAGGGAAATAATATTACTTTGTGTCATACATAGAGTTCAGGGCTTCTGTGATTTTTAAATGAATTTTTAAAGTATAAATCATTTCTTATAAGGTCATCTTTTAAGAGATTTTAAAACCTAGCCCTATTGATGAATACAAAATGGCCAGAAGGAACAGAACAGGAAATGTTTCTTTTTAAACTCATCCTGCCAGTGCTTTAGGGAAAGGTTTTTAGTTGATCTATTCTATTTGTTCTCATGAATAGTAAAAATATTCTCCTTGCAAACCAGCTCTGGTGGTGGTGGGTTGGTTACCTACCTTAGTCAATCCAATTTATTTCTACAACCTGGACGCTTTTTTGTTTGTATGTTCGTGTATTTTTTCAAAAACAGTTAACATAGAAACCTTGTTATGGAGAGAAGACAAGGAAAGGTGATTTAGGATCAGCAGAGGAAGAGCCTAAAGCATGGGTACATTAAAAACTCTTGTTCCATTTAATAGCAACTAATCAAACTCTCAAAACTTAAAATATATTTAACAAGCATATATGTGTATATATGTAATATAGGATAATTCCACATTCGTCTTGTGTAGAAAATGTAAAATAATGTTACCAAAATGTATATATGATTGTAAAGAAAGTTACTCTGGATTCCTCACAAATGTTTATATATAGAATAAAGTACTTCTTTTACGTTTGGGTGCATAACAATCTATTAAAAAGGACTTGATTCATGTCTGTCTTACTAACTTATTATATATGACATGAGGCCATGTGTTTGAGCCATAATTCTTTCTATAATTTAAAAAAAAAAAAAATCTTTATTGATTTCAGAGAGAGGAAGAGAGAGGGAGAGAGAGAGAGAGAGAAACATCAATGATGAGAGAGTCATTGATCGGCTGCCTCCTTCACGCCCCCAGCTGGGGATCGAGCTGCAACCGGGCCTGTGCCCTGACCAGGAATCAAACCAGGATCTCCTGGATCCTAGATCCATGCTCAGCCACTGAGCCGAGCCTGGCCAGGCCATAATTCTTTTTAAAATGAGGTCTTTATTTAATAAATAGAATATATATACAAAATATCATAGAACTCACTCTAGCCATCCTAATAAATCCCAGAATATATTAACACACTTGAATACATTAAAAGTAAAAGCTGGCAATATGGTACCTTTCTTTCTTTGAATATTTATAACTATAGTTAGCAAAGGAGTAATTGTTAATATGCAAGAATTGTGTGGTATATTATATCTGATAATGCATTCATTTTAATAGCTATACCAGGGAAATATCCTCAAAAAAAAAATTCACCCAAACTAAATATTATTAGCATATGAAGAGTTAATGATTTATTATTATTATAGTTAATAATTAATTGTATGAGGTATATTTCAAGGAAATTTAAAAATATATATAGCAATATACAAAATAGTTTGTGAAATACCTTGTGTGTGTGTTGCAGAATTCAAAGATTAAAAAAGGAAACAATAGTACCCTATAAACAATGCTGGTTTTCTGAAGCAATATGAGTCCATGTATTGTCTATTTTATGGAAATTTCTGTTTCAAGCAAGTCATGTAAGCTCCTGTGTTTTCCTCAGGCTTAATTTCATCAGTTGTAAAATACAAAAATAATACATGCCCTATAGTGTTGTTAGGATTCCATGGGCTATTATATCAGAAATGTCCTATAAGATGCTTGAAAAACAGTACCCTTCAAAAATTTAAAAACTATATATAATATGTTTTATATAATACATTTAAAATAATTCATTAAATATTTTATTTTCAAGGGTTCAAACTTTTTTATAGTAATATACTTTAATTTTGAGCAAAAAGAAACATTCAGCAGAAATTAAGTAGCTATATAGAAACACATAAAATATACTTTAAACTTCTTAAAATTTTTCATTGTTATTATCCATGGAGTTTTGTTTTATATAGTTGATTGAACTTGTAATCTCTTTACTGAATTTAAATGTTCACATTTCTTTGTTTGAAGATTATGCATCAATCCAAAAGGAGGTGTATTTCAATTTTTAATATTATACAGCCAAAGATTTACTATAAATATCTTCTGATGTATATAATTTGCTTAGTATTAAAAATCAATAAATGTTTAAAATCTGGCATAATTCATGCAGCATATTACAACTAAATGTGACACTGTAGATGCAATCATTTGTTATTTCACAGTATTTATTGATATCATTGGAATAATTGGAGTGTTGTATTTTATTTGATAGCTAACATCTTGACTGACACTTTCAACGTCAGCATTAGGGGATACAAAAACCTTATGCCACAACTTCATACAACTGAATTTCTGGGCAATTGAAACCAATAGGGATGGCTTGAGTGACATTTTTAAATTGTTTTTTTCCTCCAAGTGGTTTTCATTTAATCACAATAATACTCTGGGTTCTATCTTAGGTCCTGAAGTCTTTTGAGGGAACACTGCTAACAAGACATATATCTTTTTATACTATTTTCATCTGTTAATGTCATGGGATTATCTTTGCATGACCACAATTTTATTCAAGGAAATTAAATTCAGCTAGAGGAAAAACAGAAAAAACACGCTGGTAATGGAAATAAAATATTGCCCAAAAGGGGTTTTGGCAAATAGACTTATCACTTTTGTCAAACATTGTTAAGGTAGCTATTTGGAGCATTGTCTATGGAGAGTAAGTACATTGATGTTTAAGACCAATAATGAAGTGTGCTGCGTATGGGAACGCCTCCCACAGCCTCCTTCTAGCTTTACCCCTAGGGCTCCTGCTTGGTCTCTCACCCGCGGAGTGAGCTCACCTTTTCTCTCACAGGCCCCATTAACATAGCGGGTGTTGCTTTCTCCATATGACTGATAATCTAATCTATTCTATGGAGTCTAGTCTTCCCCTAAAACTTAGGGGTAAGGGTCTCAAAATTCAGTTCACTTTAATGCACTTTCTTACACCACCCACTCAGCCCTCTTAGCCTCCCTTTGTTCGTGTTATTGCCTTTGATGTACAATTTTGGTAGGAAGGGGAGGTTCTAAGGGTTCTCACTGGCTTGTTTATTCCAACTCAGCTTTTAGGAACTTGGGAATTACCCTACTTGGATTGGCATAACCATTGGGCACACTGGGAGAGAGACTCTGGCACTAACTCCATTTATCACCTAATTTTCATAAACCCAAACTACAACCAATTGATCCCAATAGTATTTTGGGTCGTCAGATTAAATAAAATCAGTGTCCGCGTCTATAAAGCTCTGAATGATGTGTGTTCTTTCCTTCTCTCAGTGTGTATCTAGCTTCTCTGATAAATCGTCAGAGGGGTCCCATCAGGGAAGTTTTAAGGACAATTTCCAGAACATTCTTGGCATGGTATCTTAGCATCCGTCCTTACATGGACCTGGCCTCTTTTTCAAATTCAAAGGATTCTGGTCGTGATCTGGCTGTGGTGAGATGACTCTTCATTGTGGTGACTGAAATCAGGCCTCTGCTCACAAGCCCTAGTGCTTCTCTATAATTATATATTGAAAAACTGTAAGAATGACCACTCTTTTATTTCTAGGGATCAGTAAATTCCAGCCAAAGATGTATGTGGGTCAAATATTCTGACTACTGCCCTGGACCTGCTGCCTATTATAGTAGCTGTGACCTCCTAGCCGCGGGGGTGAGGTGCCGCCACGTGGCCTCTGCCAGCCCCGAAACTCACATTTCAACGGCAGCGTCTCCCCCTTTGACCTCTGACTTGCAGAGGACAATCATGGGACTTCCCAAGAAGGCAGGAACCCTCCCTCATTAATAAAATGCTCAAGTTCGGGAGATAAGTGGGCAGTTGGTGGGCAAATTGCACACAAAACAGTTTTGTGCTCCAAGATTCGTCTCTGCTTATGCCTCTGGATCTTTCCTCTGTGTTACTGTCAGAAAGCTCTGGCATCTCAAGTTCATTTGATGTAAATCACTGTCGAAGCCTGGTCCTAGTCAACCAACCAATAATTGTTAAAGCCATATTGAATGGAGGAACTTTGGGAAGTTCATCACATTGATACATTCAGACATGTAATATAGGGAATTGATTAGTACGGGAGTGCAGGGGGGCAAGGGGGTGCTATTCGGAGCTCACACGTAACACACTTGCCACTGAGGCCCCGGGAGCTACGCTGCTGCGGCCGGACCTGCTGCCACCGCCACAGGGCACGGAGCCGGGAACCCACAGTCCCACTGCGGCGTCTTTGTGCGGATGTTGCTGGGCCCTTTACCCCTCCGTGACCTACTGGTGCCATTCTCTTGGCCACCTCTACTCTGTCAGGGGCTCGCGGGCGTTCCTCGTAGCCTGCAGTTGCTCCCTGCTGCCACCAGTGATCAGAAGCAGCAAAAATAACATCTCTTTTCCTTCTATTCTCTGTTCTCCAGCTACGGCCTCTTATCAGCAGAACCCCATTGAAACCTTGAAGGTCAAGTGCATATGAAGAATTCAGATTAAAGGCTTCCAGGACCGGGCTGTATAGAGGAGGGTGTGGAAGGGTGAGTATGTGGGTGGACACCTACCCTCAAGTGCACTTACAATCCTTTTTAAAATTTGCAAAAAAGTATTTCAGGCAAGCTACCAGAGGTAATAGAGCAACCAAGAAGTTTTGAATTTTTTCAGAAATTTAGAAATTTTAGGTCACCTTAATTCCTTTTTTGCTCCACAGAATTTTAGCTGGCTCTGGAAATGTCAGTGTCTTCTTTCTGCGGCCCTTCTTTACCTGAGAGTGGAATCTTTCAATTTTCTTTGTCACTCTCCTGATAATTGCATTCTTTGTGCTTTACTTAGAAAAGGGGAAAAAATAGTATTTCATCATAGTGTTGATAAGTGGAATGCTATTAATATATTTCAAAAATATACTTACAGAATGAATAATTTAATCAAGGTTTATTAGAGAAAAACACTAAAATAGATTTAAGCCATTTAAAAAATTTTTATCTTGGTATTAGTGTCTTGAGGGTCCTCATATTTTATATTAAATATCATTTTTTAAAAAAAAATATTGTTGAGATATAACAGATAAATAACAATATTAGTTTGGGGAATACAACATAATCATTCAATATTTATGGAATATATTGCAAAATGATCACAAAAAGTCTAACATCCATTACTACCATAGTTACAAAAATATGTTTTCCTTGTGATTTAGACATTTAAGATTTTCTCTTATAGTAACTTTCAAAGATGCAATAGTGTTATTAACTATATTCATGACGCTATACATTACATCCCCACAATTTATTTATTTTATAACTGGAAGTTTGTACCTTTTGTTTGTACCTCAAGTTTGCAACTCAAATGTCATTCTTACGTTACAAAAAGAAAGAGATTCTGCGTATTATCATTTTCTTAAGTCATATATAAACCTATGAAGTATTGCCACATTCCCCAGTGTAACACATTAAAATTATCATAGAAAAATGAAAAAAAAAGTCATGTGACATGTGCTTTCTCATTCTGGGAAACAAAATTAGATGAAAAGATTCCTGTTTTCTAGGATGGGGACATTTCCACGGGTTTGCATCAAGATGAAATGTGATGGCATGTGTTTCTCTCCCAGTGCATGTATTTAAGTAGTCTGGTATTTTTGCAACAGCTAAAGTATGATTTTTAAACTTCCACTGCTGCAACTTGACTGTTTAAATTTCTTAGCTTTACCAAAAATTTGTGTTTAATAGGCTTTCCTTCTATTTTTTAAGGTGTCTTTGGTCATTGTCTTAGTCTGTTCCAGCTGCTATAACAAAATATCATAGACTGAGTGGCTTAAATGATAAACATCTATCGCTCACAGTTCTGGAGTCTGTGAAGTCCAAGATCAAAGTGCAAGGCAGATTCAGTCCCTGGATCAGAGCCCTCTTCTTGGTTTATAGTTGGTGGAATGAGAGCTGTGATGGCTCTTTTTTCTTTTTGTAGGGACATTAATTTCATCATGGGGGCTCCACCTTCATGACCTAATCTAACTCTAATTACTTTCCAAAGGCTCCATCTCCAAGTGCCATCATGGATTAGGGCTTCAACATTAATTTTCAGAGAATATAAATATTCAGTTCATAGCAGTCACCTTTCCAGGATGAGTATGAAGACGAAGCTCCACATGAAATTGTTCTTTCTTAGAGGCTGTTGCTAGTCATTCTTAAGAGAGTTTTCTGGTTCATTGTTTTCTGGTTTATGTTGGCGCTGATGACTTTGTAGGCTTTCTCAAACTCTGCATATTTACACCAATTTCTACCTTTCTGATAAGATCCAGAATCTTAGGTTTATCCTCAAGATTGATTTTGCCTTGAAACTTAGCATCTTACACTGCTGCTTTTTTGGGGAAAGAAATAGCACTCAGATTCTTTATCATTTGATTACCATTAGTTTGTTTCACCTGTCTGTGAACTACATAAGGACAGGATTGGTTGGAATCTGTTCTGGTTTACCATTGAATCTCCTGGAACCTAACACAATGCACCATTCTTGATGTTCTATAAATAATTTTTGTATGACAATATGAGAAAGATATACTATTTGGAGTAGTAGAGTCAGGTTCAGAAAATGAGTAAGATTTTCATAGGCAAAGAAAGGAAGAAAGAAATAAAATGAAAGACATTTGGAATGGAATAGGAGAGTACAATATGTTTTCACGTAATGTCAAATAATAATAATATAATCCAGGAAGGCAAGATGCAGGCTGGCTTGACAATATGAGAAACAANGTTTTCACGTAATGTCAAATAATAATAATATAATCCAGGAAGGCAAGATGACAATATAAGAAGCAAANGATTTTCATAGGCAAAGAAAGGAAGAAAGAAATAAAATGAAAGACATTTGGAATGGAATAGGAGAGTACAATATGTTTTCACGTAATGTCAAATAATAATAATATAATCCAGGAAGGCAAGATGCAGGCTGGCTTGACAATATGAGAAACAAATGGGGCCCGGCCGGGCGTGGCTCAGCAGTTGAGCGTCGACCTAGGATCCAGGCGGTCAGGGTTCGATTCCCGGTCAGGGCACATGCCCGGGTTGCGGGCTGCAGCCGATCAATGACTCTCTCATCATTGATGTTTCTCTCTCTCCCTCTCCCTCTCCCTTCCTCTCTCTGAAATCAATAAAGATATATTAAAAAAAAGAAAAAGAATAAACCTCATTTAAAAAAAAAAAAAAAGAAACAAATAGTGCCTCGTGATTTTACCAGGGTCAGAACAATAAAAAGAAATAGCAAAAGTCAAGAGAGACTTGGGGAGGATTTGAAGGGTAGAACTTGTGGGCGATCGATGGTGGGGGCCATGTGTGCTTAAGGAGCAGATGGTGCCTTTAGTCAAAGCTGAGAGAGTGCCGAAGGAAGGGCTGATTTAGAGAGATGATTATTTGGTCAGCTTTTGATGTGTTCAGTTGGTGGCGTTGCTGGGATACCCAGTTGGTTGGTCATTTAAGCCTGTTGAGGAGAAGGCGGATTGGGACGTCAGTAGACTGAACTGTGCTCCTGCCTGTGTGTTAGAAAATCAGCTTGGCCTTTTGCTCTTCTCTGTTAATTAGGGAGCCTGTTCAGGGGCTAGATGATTCATGAAGTCTCTTTTGTTCTCAAGTTTGCCTTTCCACCTTCTAGAATTTGCCCTGCATAAAATATACTTTCACTTTTAGGAATTTCATTTCTTTATTGTGGTAAAATACGCGTAACACACAACTTACCATTTTAACCATTTTTAAGCGTAGAGCTCAGTGGCATCAAGTACGTTCACATTGTCCTGAAGCCATCACTTCTATCCTTTTTGAAAACTGTTTCATCTCTTCAAATAGAAACTCTGTTCCCATTAAACAAGAATTCCTCTTTTCTCCTTATTTCAGTCCTGGCAACCTCTAGTACACTTTCTGTCTTGCTCAATGAGGTACCTAGAATAGGCAAATTCATAGAAAATGTACTTTTTTAAAATTGAGTTTGTACTTGCAATTTAGAAACCTACCAATTTCTGTATCATTTTGCTACCATGTACAACTTATAAGTACTTATAATATTAGGAGAACTAAAATATTATATGATTATTAATGGTCAATGAGGTTGTTTAGAATGTTTTTTTAGAAGTGCATTTAAATCTAAATATTATAATTCAGTTCTAAGAACACTTTGTCATCTCAGTTAATTGCATATATAAAGGATACATATGGTTCTAATATATGTTTCAACAATGTTCTATATATTCCCAGAGATATATTATTTTTTGTGTCTAGGTGTAATAATAACTTTCTCTCAGAAAAAAAGTATCTGAGAGAGTTCCTATAGAACTGAAAGGATTATGGTCAAGATCAAGGAAAACAAGATATTGCAGTAAGACCAAAACCATTCTTCTACAATAGTATGATTCTTCAGTAGCCTGACTTTTGTCTTTGTCAGACAGAAAATAAATACTGTATACAAAAACCATAATGTTGATGGTTTATAGCTGAAACTTCAAAATATCTAACATGAGCCCAAAGCTCAGGCTTTACACTCAGAAAATGAAGATGCCTTTGACATTGTCTGACATTGATCATTCTAAATAGGTTTGTGAGGTCGTCTTAATATTCATTCATGGAAGATTTTAAATCTACTAATGAGCCCGGCCCGGCGTGGCTCAGCGGTTGAGCGTCGACCTGGGATCCAGGCGATCGGGGTTCGATTCCCGGTCAGGGCACATGCCCGGGTTGCGGGCTCGATCAATGATTCTCTCATCATTGATGTTCCTGTCTCTCTTTCTCCCTCTCCTTTCCTCTCTCTGAAATCAATAAAGATATACTTAAGTCTACTAATCATTGATATAATTATCTTCTGAATAAGCTCTGAAAATTAATTTAATTTGGCAATTTTTCATGTAAATATTTTTTAAATTAAATATACATATATTTATTGATTTCAGAGAGAGGAAGTGAGAGGGAGATATAGAAACATCAACGATGAGTCATTGATCGGCTGCCTCCTGCACACCCCTTATTGGGGACCAAGCTGGCAACCCGGGCATGTGCCCTGACAGGGAATAAAACCTCATCTCCTGAATCATAGTTTGATGCTCAACCACTGAGCTACGCTGGCTGGGCTCATGTAAATATTTTATTCAAGCTGATCCTAAAATGTACGTGTTTTTCAGATTTAATTTTATGTGTTGATTATATATGACTGAACCTCACCTTTTGTCCCTAAAGCTTTAGGAGCAATTTCTACATGTTCTTATTTGCTGTATCACAGGTGTGCACGTGTATGGATGTGATAGGTGTGTCAGGAAACGGGCACAATTCAAATGTATACTTTCCAATAATTAACAATTTGAATACAAAATAAATGGTTAAATATCAAACTAGTAATTTTTATAATAGACTTTAGAGAGTTTAGGAAATGATATACCAATATAAGTAAGAATAATATGGATTGTCTTCCTATGGATTGTCACGAAGCAGAACTCAAGGTGATGATTTAGATACCTCTATCTTTCTGGGTTCTTTTTTGAAAGAAAATGATCTCTTGTCCTCCTTGTCAT